TTTTTAGTCTTTGTACTGAAAAAATTCCTTTTTTGGTCCTTACTGTTTACAAATCCAACTCCTTTTTAGTTCTTTCGTTAAATTTTGACTAATATGGCAGGTTAATTAACGGAATCACTTGATTTTTTTTTATACAAATAATATTATAAATGATGTGAAAATTACGTGGATGCCACATGTACAAATTGAAAAGAGCAGTGCTAGGGGCACTCGCCTCTTGCACTCTCCAGCCAACACTTTCCTTTTTATTGGGCCACGTAAGCTTGTTTCCGGCTTTGTAGTTCAACCTCTTCCAAAAACTAGAATAACGTGGCCCAATAAAAATGAAGGTGTTGGCCGGAGAGTGCAAGAGGTGAGTACCCTTAGCACTCCTTAATTAAAAATTTTACATTTTAATTCATGAATTAAATGAATTTAAATAGGATTAATTTTAATTTCTTCATCTTCTTCTTTCTCCTCGTCCTTTTCCTAGTCTCATCCTCATCAGCATCCTGTTCGTCATCTTCTTCATCATCTTAGGTTGCTCACAGAACCCTCTTGCTGGGTTCCTCAAACCCAATTTTCTGGGTTGCTCACGAAACCCAAAAAAATGAGATATTATACTTAAATTTCTTGATGTCTCATCAAAATTGTTTTACAAATGAGATAGACCAATAATGCAGTAGAATTACCAATAACCACACACAAGATCGGGTCACATTCTTAATAAAATTGAACAAAAATCACAAAAATAAGATCTAAGCATCAAAATTTGATCTAGCAAAAAACAAATTGATGCCTCATTGTGCCATAAATCTGTGCAAAATGAGAAGAAAAGATACAACATTGATTTAGATGGCTCGAAACTCCTCAATGTAGCAGAAACTGAAACTGGGTTCAAGGAATCCAGTAAGGGGGTTCGACAAGGAACACAAAAACTGGGTTCCTCGCTGAACCCATATCTGGGTTTCGCGAACCTAGCAACTGGGTTCCACAAACCCAAGTTTTGGGTTCCTCACGGAGCCCCCTTGCTAGGTTCACCAAACCCAGCAATTGGGTTCCGCAAGGAACCCAGCAAAGGGGTTTTGTGAGGAACCCAAAACTTGGGTTTGTGAAACCCACAAGGAGCCTAGCAATTGGTGAGGATGAGTATGATGCCGGGGATGAGGAGAAAGAAGATGATTAAGAAATTAAAATTAATCCTATTTAAATTCATTTAATTCATGAATTAAAAGGCAAAATTTTTAATTTATACAAGTGGCATCCACGTAATTTCCACATCATTTATAATATCATTTGTATAAAAAATAATCAAAAGATTCCGTTAATTAACTTGCCACATGAGCTAAAATTTAACGGAGGAACTAAAAAGGGGCCGAATTTGTAAACACTAAGGACTAAAAAGGGGATTTTTTCAGTAAAAAGACTAAAAAGGAGTTTTTTCCTATAGTAGAGGGACCAAAAAGGGTATTTAACCAAAAAAAAATGGTTACTTTGAATGCTTTCCTAAACTCTCAGTAACGGGAGCACCAATCGATAAATTCAGGACACAATGGCTGTAGAACATAATCAACAAATAACAAATCTTTAAGGTACTTAAAAAGAGATTAAAAAGAACGTATCCCTAATAACCATGTAGAAGAAACAGGCTTAAAGCAGAGATTTGCATGAGGTTCACTCAAAGCCGAGACGATATGAGTAGCAAAGCATCAAACCTACCCATCCTGCGCATAAGAGAATTTGAGAAGAGAAAAGAAAAAGAATGTCAGATTCAGAAAAACAATATCATAAAGAGGATAAACTCTGATCCAATAAAAACTCAAAATTTCAAAAGCTTAGGCGAATTAGACAATATAGCAACTGTAAATTGAAATCCATTATGGTTTCGTTTTCTATTCAAAAACAGAACTGGGATTAAGATCAACCGGAGAAATGATTACCATGATGTCCATGTGGAGCCAATCGGCGCCACAGTTGAGCATGCGCTCGGCCTCCGACGCCAAATTGGCGAAGTCCGATGACAGCATCGACGGGGCGATCCTCGCGTCTACTACTCCCACGTCGGAATATTAAAGAATACAAGTTCGCTCCCGGAATTTTGACTTCAGAGAAAAGACTGAAACGAGGAAAGGAAAACATGGAGAATTTTGAGAAGCAATTACAAAGTACTTAATACCGTATCAACATATATAGATATATTCATATGGTATATTGAAATTTTTTACATAAATATATATTTTTATAAATTAAATATTAAATTTTAAAATAATTATAAAAGAAACTAATGTAATTTGCGACAAAATTTGGGAAAACCTTTTGAGCTGGTAACAATTCTTTATTTCTTCAACCATTAACCTAAATCCTATTATAATCCAAGCAAAGGTCATTTGAATGATTTAAGTTAAAAACATTAAGATGATAATAATCATTAAATAGATGATAGCAAATCACATTCAATTTAAAAAAAATAAAAGGATTCAATAATGAAAAGCCTTTTTTCTATATTCCAAACACATTGTATCAAATTTCCACTAGTTACCCATGTGAGCTAGAATAAAAAAAAAAAGGCAATTGTCATCCATTATTACAATTTTAGAAACAGACACCCAATGGGTTCATCACGAGGGTTCTTCAATTGTTTCTGTCAATGGACAATTATAAACAAACAACAAAATTAATTCCAAAAGATTACTAAATATCTTGAGTATAATTATAAGGATCCTCATTTGGAGGAATTTCATAACTTGTAACTCCACCAACTTCAACCCAAAGTTATTCATTTTCATTTTCAAGAACTTTGGGACATCTTCCTCATCATAAACAACACTATCAATATCATCAAGGTTTTGATTTGGCAAAATCTCATCAATAGCTGCCCAATCCACATCATAATCATTTTTATCGAGAAGAGCTGGTTCCTCAGCCACCCAACCAGCTAATATGTCAATATTTTCAAGACTAAGAGGATCCATTGCATTTTTGCTCCTATAAATAATTTTATAAACAAACAAAAATCATAACTAACACTTATTTGATTTCAATATAAAACATAAATGTGCATAAAATATATGTAAAAATAAAAAATCAAATTTATAGGATCAATTAATAAGTCAAAGATGGCAAAAAAAAAAAAAAAAAGCTAAGTTATATGCAAAAACTAAAGCAACTATAATACTCTTAAGAGATTATATCTTTCTCAAAGCTTCAAATTATGATGAACAAACACAAGGGCATTCAACCTTTCATGCTCTAGCATATTCCTCTTCTTAGAATGAATAAAGTCAAAAGCACTCCAATTTCTTTCACATCCAGTTGCACTTGTGCATTGGCTAAGCACTCGAATCGCAAACTTTTGCAATTTTGGTGTATCCGTTCCAAATTGATCCCACCATGCAACTATAAAAACAATAAAATACAATGTGCATTGAAATAAATAAGTAAAATTTTTTTAAATAAAACGAAAAGAGAGCTAAGATGAAAGAAAATTATTTGGATTTAACTTTTCTCTCTAACGAATTGCCAAACTCATGCCAAAGGTCCCTATAGCTTTTTTAAACTCCTCAAGTTGTGAACTAATGAGATCTTGCTTCTCCTCATCCAGTATCACTGTTGTTAAGGTATTAAACAAGCCTCTCGTAATAGCAGTTTGTTTGTTAAAGCTAGGCCTAAAGTAGATACCTAGATTAAAAAAGCAACCAGCTACATGTAATGGGCTATAAAGTTTTTATCCCATCTATCATCAATCACCTTAATATAAGGCATGTATTGAGACAACCTATTATTAAAATTCTTTTTTATTGTCTCCTTTGCCTTATTTATTGCCTCATACAAGTAGCCCATACTTGGCTTCTCTTCATTGTCCACAAGTTGAAGCACTCTCACTAAAGGTTCACTGATTTTGACAATCAATATGCAATTAGATCAAAATTCTCTATCTTCCAAAACAATTTCACATACTTCTTTCCCAACATTGCTTCTTGCATACCTAGAACCAACCCATGCATCACTTGTAAACATTTGTCTAAGCTCCTTCTTGAATTTCAATAAACATTGGATGCTCAAAAAGTGGGTAGCAAACCTCATAACAGCAGGACGACACAAATCTCTCCCATTTGTGTAGTTACTCCTCATCAATGCTAGCACCCATTTGTGACTTTTCTTGCCTTTCTCATAGTAGTATCAATTATAGGAAAGTGTCTTGCATAAAAAAATTTTCTAACATCAAGTCAATACAATGGGCAGCACAAGGAGACCAAAAAAATGTGTTGTACTTTGCTTCCAACCTTTTCCCAGCAACTTTGAATGAGGCATCATTGTCTGATATAAATTGTACAACATTTTCCACTCCTACTTCTTTCACCACTTCATCGAACATCCTCTCCAATGTTTCAGCATCCTTTGTCAAACCAAAAGTGTCAACAGACTTCAAAAACATACCTCCTTTAAGACAATAAACAAGGAAATTGATTATTGGTTGATGTCTTTGATTTATCCATCCATCAGCCATAATTGAGCAGCCATTAGTACTCCATGTTGACTTCAAGGATAAGAGCCATTCATTAACCTCCTTTACTGCACATTTTAGGAAAGGACCCCTCAAATCATGGTAACTTGATCCCTTGAAACCAAGTCCCATAGATGTGATAACATCCCACATTAGCAAACAGTATTTTGAATGTGTAGCACGGAAAGTCACATTAGCATCATACCACCATCTAGCAAAAGCCATCCTAGCAGCTTCTTGTTTTTCTCTTGATTGCAAAGTGTTTTTTATAGTGTTTTGGGCTCCATGAGTTGTCCTTGGTGCAAAATATGAATTAATATTCTTTTTCTGTTGTGCTACATGTGATTGAGATTGATGGCTCTCTTCAATTTCATCATCTTCATTAACAAACATTTGTGAACCACATTGACTCCCAACCATATCCCTAAGTCTCTTTCTCTTTTCTTTCCCTTTCCTTATCTCACTTAACAAATGTTGCATTAGCCACTTCACATCTGTTGAAACTTTTTGGCAAGCACCAACATTGCCTTTGACTCCGGCAAGGTGCTCTTTCAATTGAGCAATTCCACCCCGTTGTATGAGCTTATCACAATATAGGCACTTTGTTTGATTCATCTTGCCTAGGATAATCAAACAATGGGCCCAAGCAAGATCATCTATTTTAGAAGGAGCATATCCAATAAAGTCACTTGTAGCAGTACCTAAACCACTACCTAAACCACTAGTATTCATAATGATATTTTAGAAAGACAATCACCAAGGAAAAAAAAAACAAAGAATTACACAACAAAAATTAAATGGAAAATAACAATGCAAGCCTCTTAATTAAATCATTGGACTACGGAGAAATAGAAACTGTTTCATGAATTGTAATCAAGCACGCCATATGAGCTTAATGATGCAACAATTGTAAGCATCCTTCCTACTATTGCTGATTTGGGTGGTTAGATTCACCAATTTGTTAGGAGGGAGAAACTTGATAAAGGCAACCAATATATGTACTGCTCTTATCGATATGTATGCAAATCAACAGCATCAAAGGAAAGATACACTAATGTATTCACTTACTAATGAAATCAATAGCACCAAAAAGGAAAGATTGAGACCAAAACTCATCTCACTAAGTTGTATCCTAGGAGAAAAAAACAAGAGGAAAAGGAATGAAAATGCGAAGCATACTTGAGAGACGAAGTTGGGCTGCTGGAGAGTGGTGAAGAGATACACAAATCACTCTCCAAGATCTAAGGCTCGTGGAACAAGAAATGGAAAGAGAGAGCAATAGCTAGACCATCAACAAGGAGTCAAGGACTGCTGGAGAATTGCAATATGAAATTGTACGGGTTAATTAAGAAACCCTAGCCAAAACGATGTCATTCTAGCTAGGAAATCCTTTTTTTTTTTTTTTTTTAATTTGGACATAATATGTATTGATTAAATTTCAATGTACTGACCGATATATCAAAATTTGACCAAAATGCTTGAAATTTGACCAAAACAGAATTTAAACTTATACTGTTTCAATCAACTTGAAAAACTAGTACATACTAACTGTGCCAACCGGTACAAAATAGTACTGACTACATTGACCAAGAACCGTGGTCCAACAACGTAGTTTTGTCGGTTGAACTACTCATTCTAACTTACCTCGCCTAACGCACACTGGACCCCATGATCCATGTTGAGTGGACCCTACGACGCCACGTATGAAAATTTTCCATTTTTTATCCTAGTTCCCCAATGAGTGGAAAGTTACTCCCAACAACAACTGCAAACACTTAACCCCCGCAGGCAGCTGGCTGGTCCAAATCAATAGCCTACGTTTACAGGCTGAAAATTAAGTCATTAATTTCCTACTTTAGGATTTCAACGAAAACGGGCGCCTCGGCACCTCAGCATAAACGAATTGATGGTGGCAATCGCTACCCTGAGAGAGCCAGGCGCATACTTGCAGGAGAAAGTTTATCATATAAATGGTTGTCTATGAATGCTACTTCGGATGGGATGAACGTCCTCATTGGCTACACTATGAATTTGGTGGAGTTCACGTTATAATATATGATAAAAAAAATAAGTACTTGTCACAGGGCTATAGCTCTAGTACGTTTCTGACTTTCAGACCATCACTGACCGTTGTAATACATAGGCTGAAGCTGCCGAATCAAATGAAGGTAAATATTAATTCTTGTACTAGTATTAATTGAGGATGTCATGTCAGGAAATTAATTCGATAAAATTAATGCATTGGAATTCCCTTTTCTTATTAGGACACAATGATCAACTCATCTGGAAGCTCTATTTATAGTCTATGTATACGCAGTGCACCTCTGTGCCTTCACATGCTTAGAAGCCAAAGGCCTCAAATTCTAGCCATGACTAGTGTTCAGATTAATCCCAGTACTCAAGGCACCAATACTCCCAGGCCTCCTAATGATTATAAAAAATATATATACATAATTTAATTCCATTAAACTTATGCCTTATATATCAAGCTAACAGAGGACGGTAGAACATTACATTTTGCAGCAAGACAAGAACTAGAAGTTGGAACTCATCTCAAACTCATGAGTGCTGATGGAATTGTGTGAGGGTTGTGTCTAAACACTTCCAAACCCTACTAAGCTGAATAGGACAGAGAATCATCTGATCTGCCTTTAGATACTGATTACTCGAGAACGTGATTGTTCATTGTCCCCATTGAATAACGTTATCTGATCTCTAATGGTAACTTAAATACCCTAAAACTAGAGTTAATATGCTCTCCTTGATCATAAACCTCTGTGTAGCTATCGTATATTACAATGGTGTAGTACCATCCAAGACGAGCTTGCCACCATGTGGAATGGTTTTTTTTTTTTTTTTTTTGAACAGCAAACATACTATTATTAATTAATAAGCGGAATACAAGGGGTACTCCAAACCCATGAACATCAAAAGTTAACGCAAGGTGTCGACACCCAGAAAAAGTGTCGACACTACACCCGTGACGGGAATTCTGCTATCATTTGCATTCTCCAGAAATCTCCCTGTTTAGGTCCACAAACCACACCCGACACACCCACTGACCCACAAGCCATTGATCAAGCATTGACTATAGCTGAGATCCACTACAGTCAATGATTGCTCAATAAGCCTACATGAGCCCCCATTACACAGCACCTTAATCCTTCGAAACAAAACTCAGATAGACCTTCCAACTAACACCATTACCCTCCCTCCCACATATTATTTATTTGGTACCCTTCTTTTCCTAAGGCCATCTTCCAAGCATGCCACTGGGTTAAGAAACCAATCCGTTAAAGTGACGGCGTACCTTTCTTTTTTTGCTGTGATCCAATGGAACGACTTTAATTGGATGAGTTCCGGCAGCTTCTCCCTGTTAATCTCTTTGCCTTGGAATGTTTTTTGATTTCGAGCCAGCCACACTGTCCACACAAGAGAATTCCAAATGCAATCCCACCCTTCTCTAATACATTTCTTTTTTAGTTCTCTTCCAGCCACTTGAAAGGTATTCCAGCAGTCCGCTCCCAAAGTAACATTAATACCCCACCATTTTGCACAAGCCATCCATATCCATCGAACCATACTACACTCTAGAAACAGATGCTTTGTGTCCTCTTCTTCCTCACCACATAATCCGCATTTGTAGTCTTGATTGTCTTTGATGATCCCTCTTGTCAACAGATTCATTTTAGTTGGAATCCTGTCAAGTAGTAATTGCCAGTTGAATGCTGAAATTTTGCTTGGCAAAACAGAATTCCAGATTCTACAGAAGGTTGTAATTTCCATTGCTTCCCTCCCCTCTTTCGTCAATATTGAGTACGCTGACTTTGTTGAGTATTGGCCATCCTTGTTGTGTATCCACTCCCAATTATCCATGCATCCTTGTGACGGTTGCACATTTTGAATCGAGTTGTGTAATTCCATTGCCTCCTCCTTTTCCCATTCGAACAAATTCCTTCTCCATGTTAAGTTCCACTCCCACAAACCGTTAGTTCTACTTCCCATTTCACTGCACGTCTTTGTCTTATCTGTAGCTAACAAGTACAGTCTTGGAAACATATTAGCTAGACACTCTTCTCCCCTCCATTTGTCCCACCAGAAGCTGACCGTATTACCCTCCCCGATCTTAACCCTGAATCCCTCTTTTAGCCATCCATTGCTTTCCCCATCCATTGCATTTATACCACACACATCCCTCCACCAAGTTGATCCTACTCCTCTACTTTCATCTATCCAGTCCTGCCAATGCCCCCCTCCCTTTCCATATTTTGCAACAATAATTTTTTTCCACATGCCCTCCCCATTTTCTGCAAGCCTTCCCCACCATTTTCCCATCAATGCCAAATTGAATTTCCTCAAATCCCTGACTCCTAAACCTCCTTCCTCTTTTTTTTTTACACACTTCATCCCAGCCAATCCAATTTATTTTTCTCTCATCTCCCTTCCCCCCCCCATAAAAAACTTCTACGCAATTTATCAATGGAATGGATTATACCTTTTGGGATAACATAGATAGACATCAAGAATACTGGCAGACTTGACAGCACTGAATTGATGAGTGTGATGCGGCCTCCCATAGATAGATACCGTCCCCTCCAGCTGGCTAGCTTCTTTCTAACAGACTCCACCATCGGCTGCCACATAGCTCTTCTTCTGTGATTCCCTCCGATTGGTATTCCCAAATACCTAAATGGCAGTTTCCCTTCCTTACAGCACAGCTGAAATGCCATTTTAGCACACCAATTTTGCTCAACTCCCACACCAATCAACTGGCTCTTCCTGAAATTAATCTTCAATCCCGGGGCTAACTCAAATGTCCTCATAATACATTTGATCACCCAAATGTTGTCTTCCGTTGCATCTCCAAAGAAGATAGTGTCATCCGCGAATTGAAGATGCGTGACCATTACATCTCCGCTCCCAATTTCCACTCCTTTGTACCTCCCCTTCTCCACTGCCGATGCCACTAGTCCATTCAATCCCTCTGCCACTATCAAGAATAAGAACGGGGATAATGGATCTCCCTGGCGAATGCCTTTATTAACCGGGAATTGGTTCGTCGGACTGCCATTGACAAGAATAGACACCGAGCTCGATTCCAAGCACTCCTGAATCCACTTCCTCCATGTTGCACAGAATCCCATCCTTGTCATCATATATTCTATGAATTCCCAGCATACCTTGTCGTAGGCTTTCTCGAAGTCGACTTTAAATAGAAATCCCTTCTTCTTTTTCCTCTTAACTTCATCAATAATCTCATTTGCAATCACTGCTCCATCCACTAAATGCCTTCCTTCAATAAAAGCCATCTGCTGCTCCCCAATCACCTTGGGCAGCACCTTCCGCAAACGATTTGCTAGAAGCTTTGCAATGATTTTGTATGTGACTCCTATCAAGGAAATTGGCCTATATTCCTCGATTGCTTGTGGATTTTCGGTTTTTGGAATTAACACAATGAAGGAAGCATTTGACCCTTTGACCAGTCTACCATGCTGTTGGAACTCCCGTACAAAGTGGACAATATCAGCTTTTATAACATCCCACATTGACATGATGAATCTGAAGTTGAATCCGTCTAGTCCTGGGGATTTGGATGGGTCACAATTCCATATTGCTTCTTTAATTTCCTGTTCCGAAAAAGCAGCCGTGAGGAGCTCATTATCAGCCTTTGTGATTTGCCTAAAGCATATTCCATCTAGCTTTGGTCTCCTCCATTTTTCTTCTGTGAACAAGTCTTGGAAGTATTTAGCAATCTCTCTCTTTAATACCTCCACTCCTGTATACTGCTCCCCATTTATCCGGACACTATTAATCTCATTCTTGCTCCATCTTCCCTTGATGCTTCTGTGAAAGAATTTTGTGTTCGCGTCACCTTCCTTCAGCCACTGCTTTCTTGATTTTTGTTGACTCATCCTCTCCTTGATTTTTAAATTCTTCCACAAATCAATAAAACTATTCCTCCTCAATTCTACGTCATTATCTGACAACTGGTGCTGCTCTCCTTTCTCATCAACAGAAGCGATCACTAACTCTGCATTCCTTATTCTTTCATCCATCTCCCTGTTGGTTTTGCCACTCCACTCCTTTAGTGCCTTCTTTGTTCTTTTCATCTTTTCTTTAATTTTAAATCCATACCAACCGTCCACCTCGTTGTCACACCATGCACTCTTAATCACCTCCTTACATCCCGGTTGATCCAGCCAAGCATCAAAAAATCTGAACGGTTTTGGACCCCAGTCGACCTGCTCATTTTTTATCAATATAGGGCAGTGATCTGATACATTCCTCCTCAATCCCCACTGTTTCAAATCGCTCCACTTTGATATCCATTCTTCTGAAAACAGAAATCTATCAATCCTACTCATTTGCTTCCCATTTGAATTATACCAGGTATATTTTCTCTCTATCAAAGGCAAATCAACCAGATCACTGTTGTGGATGAAAGCATCAAACTCCCTCATTTCATTGGACACCATCTTACAACCTGCTCTTTCCTCAACCCTCCTTACAGCGTTAAAATCCCCTGTTAAGCACCACATCCCCCTTCTATTAATAATCAGATCTTGCAGCTCCTCCCATAAGGCCCTTTTTTTTGTACTTTGACACGGAGAATAAATGTTTATTATGAACACCGGTGTCTCCTCCAGTCCCCACAGTCCAAACACCCCTAAAAAATTTTCGCCTTCTAAAGTCTCTTTCTTCTTCAACATTTTAGTGTCCCAAATACATATCAAACCTCCAGACATTCCATTAGAAGACTTAGCAACCCAATCCATATCCTCAGACCCCCATAAAGATCTACATATTTTCCTATCAACTGCGTCCATCTTGGTTTCTTGAACTGCTAAAAATTGAACATTTTCTTTGACAACTAACTCCCTAATCTGTGATTTCTTCCCTACCCCTCCAAGCCCCCTAATATTAAATGACATAAATATCATTGGGTGCATCACATACCTTCCCACCGGCTTCAACCTCTCGGTTTACCATACTCCTTTTTGAGCTTCGATCTTTGTCCTCCATCTCCTCAATTCGTTGAATCACCTCATTGTCATTCTCCGCCACCGCCCCTAGCTGCGTCGCCAAGTCCCATATCTCCTTTGCAAGTTGGGATTGCCATTGTTTCTTCAACGCCCTGTTGCAATTATTTATCTCACTGTCCCCTATTGAATCTCCAGCAACCTTCCCCTCCTGGTTCGGCATGAAGATTGGTTCTGGTCTCTCATCCATCTGCTGCGCGATCTTCTTCTTTCTTCCTCTTTTTTTTTTCCGCCGGAGCCTCTCTAATTCTGGGTTGGGAATACACCGAGCTACACCTTCTGACCTTCCTTCTACCATTTTTTGAGTTAATCTCCTCCAGCTGTTTCCCAATCCACTTTTCTATTCGGCTTCTCTCTGATTCGTGACCTTTCCAAAATGCATCTTCTTCTTCATCGCCCTTCTCTTCTGCGGATTTTTCGGCTCCAGACTTGTCTCTGTTTTGGACTGTAATTGGGGTCTCTATTAGAGTTTCTTTTTGGGCCATTTCCACATTTGTGGACTCCATTGCCATTGGGTTTTCTCCCTTCAAAGTGGGCCTGGTTACCGTTTGATTACTGGGCTTCATTTTGTGGGTATAATCTTCTGTTTTTGATTCTCCAATTACCGAAATAGTGGCCTGCATCGTCTGACCTGTAGCCACGTCCTTTGTCCGCCTACTTCTTGCACTTGCATTTGAAATTTGAATTTTCTCCAGGTTGTCACCAACGGTCTCTGCAAAATCCCCTTCTTTCTTGCTGGATTGGACTTCATTTCTTCTTTCTTCATCACTCTTACGTCCTATTACGTCATCATCTTCTTCGGTTGAACAACCTGCTGAAACCTTCTCCTTCCTCCTTCCATCTTCGTCGTCCTGCATCTCCGATTCTGTTCCGGTGGACCATGTTTCATGATCTTCAGATTCACTACTAAAGGAAGGCATAAAATCTTGTTTCACAGAGAAGAAGCAATTAGTGGATTCCTCCTCTGTGAATTTCAGCTTGAATAAACTTCCATTGATTTTGATTTCCCTTGTAACATTGATTGTCTCCATAACTGAAGAAGAAATCAGAAATCTAGCAATGTCAAACCTTACCTTCTTGCTTGTACTGTCATCCAAGCAGATAAATTTGCCCCATGAACTACCCATGGTTGAAAAGAATTCACTTCCCCAGACATTCAGTGGTGCTCCTTGACACCTTATCCACACAAATCTCTCTTTTGCTGTCATCTGTGGTGTCCATGGCCTCACTTCTTCAAACCACTGCCTCAGCCAATCCGATGCCATTTCAACTAAATCCTTCACTTCCTCCTTATCCTGTCTAGATAACAGAACCATTTTGCCTCCCATTGCTCGGATTTGACAAGAAAAATACCCCTCCATATAGAATTTTTCTTGTAGGTTGCGTACCATCTCCACAGAATGCACTATTCCAACGTAGCTGCCTTCAAGCCAAACATACTCTTCCGGTTTGATGTTGAACTCCATACCAGCCCAGCTGTCTCATCTTCCTTTTTCTTTCCACACTCTCCTCTTTCCGGATTGCCGAAGATCGTGTCTACTTCTGTCTCTGTATCTCCTTTGCAAGTCATGCCCTGCATGCGTCTTAGCTTCTTTGACAGTACTTCTATCTCTGCCACGGTCAACCATTCTCTGTATGCTTTGATCCCCTGCCACTTCCTTCTCTTGTGATCCTTTTACCACCTCAGCATAACTTCTACTCTGAACATTTGCCATCCTTCCGTTATATTTTCTTTTTACCCCAACTTCCTTCTTCTCAGAATCAAACCTTGGCATGTTCACCCACAATTTCCGACCTCTAACCCA